GTGTTTGTGTGTTTGTGTGTTTGTGTGTGTGTTTGTGCTTTTGTGCTTTTGTGCTTTTGTGCTTTTGTGCTTTTGTGCTTTTCTGCTTTTGTGCTTTGGTGCTTTGGTGCTTTGGCGCTGGTGCTCGTGCTCGTGCTCGTGCTCGTGCTCGTGCTTGGGCTTGCGCTTGCGCTTGCGCTTGCGCGTGGGCTTGGGCTTGGGCTTGTGCTCGTGCTCGTGCTCGTGCTCGTGCTCGTGCTCGTGCTCGTGCTCGTGCTCGCGCTCGTGCTCGTGCTCGTGCTCGAGCTCGTGCTCGGGCTCGCGCTCGCGCTCGTGCTCGTGCTCGTGCTCGTGCTCGTGCTCGTGCTCGTGCTTGTGCTTGTGCTAGTGCTTGTGCTTGTGCTTGTGCTTGTGCTTGTGCTTGTGCTTGTGCTTGTGCTTGTGCTTGTGCTTGTGCTTGTGCTTGTGCTTGTGCTTGTGCTTGTGCTTGTGCTTGTGCTTGTTCTTGTGCTTGTGCTTGTGCTTGTGCTTGTGCTTGTGCTTGTGCTTGTGCTTGTGCTTGTGCTTGTGTTTGTGTTTGTGTTTGTGTTTGTGTTTGTGTTTGTGTTTGTGTTTGTGTTTGTGTTTGTGTTTGTGTTTGTGTTTGTGTTGGTGTTCGTGTTCGTGTTCGTGTTCGTGTTCGTGTTCGTGTTCGTGTTCGTGTTCGTGTTCGTGTTCGTGTTCGTGTTCGTGTTCGTGTTCGTGTTCGTGTTCGTGTTGGTGTTGGTGTTGGTGTTGGTGTTGGTGTTGGTGTTGGTGTTGGTGTTGGTGTTGGTGTTTGTGGTTGTGGTTGTGGTTGTGGTTGTGGTTGTGGTTGTGGTTGTGGTTGTGGTTGTGGTTGTGTTTGTGTTTGTGTTTGTGTTTGTGTTTGTCTTTGTGTTTGTCTTTGTGTTTGTGTTTGTGTTTGTGTTTGTGTTTGTGCTTGTGTTTGTGTTTGTGTTTGTGTTTGTCTTTGTGATTGTCTTTGTCTTTGTCCTTGTGTTTGTCTTTGTGTTTGTCGTTGTGTTTGTCTTGGTGTTTGTCTTTGTGATTGTCTTTGTGCTTGTCTTTGTGTTTGTCTTTGTGTTTGTCTTTGTGCTTGTCTTTGTGTTTGTCTTTGTGTTTGTCTTTGTGTTTGTCTTTGTGTTTGTCTTCGTGTTTGTCTTTGTGTTTGTCTTTGTGTTTGTCTTTGTGTTTGTCTTTGTGGTTGTCTTTGTGTTTGTCTTTGTGTTTGTCTTTGTGGTTGTCTTTGTGCTTGTCTTTGTGCTTGTCTTTGTGTTTGTCTTTGTGTTTGTCTTTGTGTTTGTCTTTGTGTTTGTCTTTGTGTGTGTCTTTGTGTTTGTCTTTGTGTTTGTCTTTGTGTGTGTGTGCGCGTGCGCGTGGGGGTGCGTGCTGGGTGCGTGCTGGGTGCGTGCTGGGTGCGTGCCGGGCGCCTGCTGGGTGCGTGCTTGCTGGGTGCGTGCTGGGTGCGTGCTGGGTGGGTGCGTGCTGGGTGGGTGCGTGCGTGCTGGGTGCGTGCGTGCGTGCGTGCGTGCGCGCGTGCGCGCGTGCACGCACGCGGGCGAGAAGGGGGGCGGGCGCGCGAGCTCGCGGGCGCGCGGGCGCGCGGGAGGCCGCGCGCGCAGAATCGCGCGGCCCTCGGGGTTCGGGGGGTCGCGCGGGCGCGGAGGCTGGGGCGCGTGGTCGCTGGGTGCGCGGGGGCGCGCGAGTGCGGGGCTGGGGCGGTCAGTTTCTGGCGGGTGCGGGGCGGTGCGGGCGGGCGCGGGCGGGTGCGGGCGGGTGCGGGCGGGTGCGCGCGGGGGGCTGCGGGGGGGTGGCAGGGGTGTGGGGGGGTGCGGGGGGTGAGGCCCACTGCCCCAGGTGCCTATCCCAGAAGGGAACTGGTATGGAGGTCGTTGTTTTGGTCCCTGGATCTATTCCGGAGAGAATCCAATATGCCACTGTGGATAATTGGAGGATGGATTGTCCCTGGTGGATTGTCTTGTGGATAATCCTGTAAGCGGCCTGCTAAGGTTCTTTTGCTTCACGCGATCATGAATGCCTTGAGCCAAGTGTTGCAGGAGATCAAGTGTTCAGTAAACCAAACACAAAACAGACACAAATTTCTTTTGATCTCCAGCGCTAAGTATGAAATACTATTGGCTTCATGGCCTTTGGCCGTAGCCTTGGTGTATGCCGTAGCCATGCTGTGTGCCGTAGCCATGTGTATTAAAAATGCCGGATTCATCCTCTTTTCTGCTCGGATGAAATGTCTTGGCTTTCGAAATGGAAAACACTATGTACTGCTTCTTTTTGAGATACCTAGATGTATCAAAGGGTGATGTACAACGCTATGTGAAACTATTGATCTCTCACTCATTGTATAGTCTTGTAGACGGCGAGGATCAATCATCTGAATTGAGTTCGTGGTGCTGAACGTATGAATCTTCATGGTCAGTCGGATCGACGATACCATCGGCGGCTGCTGTCGGATTGACTGCCATAGTCTCCATAATCATTCCAGGTCAAGTTGCTATAGTGCTTCCACTGTTTCTGATGTTCCCACTGCTTGTCCAGGCTTGTTTCTTCTTGATGTACTCCTGGTATCTCTCAGAGTTGCGTTGCCTGGTTGCAGATTTGCTGCGGATGTAAACCATGAGGGGACTGTGAGAGTCGGAGTCCTGCGAGCCATTCATGAACATGTCATTGTTCACGTGCTTAAAGCGCTCTGCGGATGAGACCTGGTAATCGAATATGGCCTTGGTTGGATGGTTCCGCATGAATTCCAGTTGTTCATCATCCATGCCGTTCATCTCGTCCTTCCGGAAAGCCTTCTAAATGTTCGTTTTGCCCCATCCAAATACGAAAGTCATCATCACACCTGGGAATGTTATCCTGATCCACACTTCATGTACAGGTGATGACGGACAATGGATTTTAGGGTGCACGAAGTCTCCATTGCGTACTCCATTCTGTCCACGAGTGGCAAATCTTTCGTTTCATTCCACAGTGCTGGAGTTTGCTGTAGGTGTTCGCTGATTTGTTGGCGTCTCCGGTGATCGCATCGCATCGGTACAATCACGAGCGGCATGATTTCATTCTGAAGATCTTCCCTTGCTGCTCCATGGCTGATTGAAGGATGCCTCGTTATGTGGCGGTCATCGATCGGTCTGGATGACCATTGCTTGCTCACGATGCCCTTGTACCCAAATCGGATGAACGTCTTGATG